ATATATATATATATATATATATATATATCACGTTTGAATTTATTAAGGATTTTTTTTAATATATTATGAGTCATGACAATTTAGGATAAAAAATTTACAAAATCTTTCTCTACTTTAGTAAATAGAATTTTATTATAATTATTTTTAAGTTATTTTAATTTCTACAAAATCATTTAAAACACTTTAATTAATATTTAATACGAAAAAATAGTAAGTTAATTACTTAGATTATTTTTTTATCAATAACACATCACTTAATGTAAAAAAAATAAAATAAAAATAAAAAAGTGAAATTGAAAAGAAAAAAAATTCACACTTTAAGTCATTTTTATTGATTTAAAAAAAATTGGTTGTACCAAAATATCTTAATTTATAAGGGTACTGTAGTAACTCACTAATATTTAATGATATTTGATAATTGTAGAAACTAAATCTTTAAGAAAATTAAAAGAAAAAAAATCAAAATTCAAAAATTACTTCTTAAATAAAATTTAAATTATTTAACATAAAATTTTGCTTCATAGAATTTATATCATTGTGACTTTTTAAAATGATGGCCAGAAAATTGAATTTAAAATATTGTGCAACTACTAAAAATGAATGTTATTAGACTTGAACCAGTTGCTCACTTAAGATAATGGACAATTGATTATTGATTAAATTAGTCAAGTCATTAATTTAAAATATTTTGATAATAATTTTTTTCTTATAAAAATTGAATAAATTTTCAATCCTTATATTTTAACAAAAACATGTTTTTAGATCCTACAAAGGGACTCAAATTAAACTAAATATTATTACATTTATAAATTTTAAATGTAAATTTTTTTAGCGGGATGAGTTGATATAGTAGTTAGCTATGTTACACTCACGTTGTGACAATCTATGTAATGAAGGGTTCATTTTCATTCTCCTCAAGTGAAATTAGTCAAATTAGTTTATGATCTAATAGATTAAGAAAAGTAATTTTTAATAAAATTATTACTTTAATTAATTTTTAGATATACTAATACCACATTCGTGTACTCTATTGTTAATATATTTTTTATTATTATTTGAAATTCGTCAATAATCACAATCACTCTTTATTTAATAAACTCCAATGATTTTATAGTTTCGAATAAACTTTTAAGAGAGAATGTTCAAAAGGATATCCTTAAAAAGTATATCAGTAACAGTCCTCCTATGTATATTAATTCCCTTCAAACTGAATTATCATTTATAAATTATCAAATTGCATTTCTACCGCGCTTATGAGAACTTCATTTAGAGGATGTAGAATATATTCAAACTTACGAAAAAGACTTATAATTCTTATAATTTTAATAGAGTATAATTCCAGCTTTAGGGCCGTTCCCGATTTGCCTTTGAAAATAATAGCTTGCCTTTGAAATCAATTCTTATAAACAGCTTGCCTTTGAAATCAATTCTCCAAAGAAAATGATACTGCTTTATATTGGATGTTGTTCTTGTTACCACAGATTGCTAGGGATTTTACCCTTCAAAAAATGTAGCAGGATATGCCCTTCTTCAGAGGAGCACTTGAAATAAAAAAGATAAACCGGGTACTAACCAGAAACACACTAACATTTGTACTCTAAAAAATAAGTGAATGCATGACCTTCTACAGATGATCACTTGAGAAAAAAGATGATTGTTTATCCATAATTACAGAAAGAGTCCCAAAGCATAATACAATTAGAATAAAAAAAAAACATAACACAAATGCAAACACACTTAAAACATACGTTATCTTAAAAAATAAGTGAATCTATGACCTTCTGCAATGATCACTTAACATCAAAGATGGTTGTTTGTCCATAAGTACAGAAAGAGATGCAAACTGAAAACTAGTCAAAAAGGCATAATAATACAAACACAACTAATATAGGAAAAACTATAGAATCATTGTTACCACTGGATGCATGGCCAAGCTCAACATTGCAATGAGATTACCGATAATTACACCCAAATTAAAGGTGATTACTACACAAGTTCAATGTACGCCATAGGGGCATTATCACCACGTCTTGGCAGGGTTCTTATAATTCTTGTATAACCCCCATTTCTTTCACCATAACGGTCTGGAACCTCTGCAAATAAAGCATGAACAATCTGCTTCTCATAGATGAACCCAAGGGCTTGTCTCCTCTTATGAAGAGAACCATCCTTTGCTAAAGTGATCATTTTATCAACATACTTCCTAATTGCACTGGCCCTTGCTCTGGTGGTCTTGATGCGACCATATTTAAGGAGCTGAGTTGTAAGGCCCCGAATGAGAGCGCGGCGCTGATCAGGGGGCCTGTTGAGTTTGGGAACTCGCTTCCCATGTCTCATGGCATAGACTCGACCACCATTGTCAACAATGGTGAAAGTGTGATCAAAGCCGGTATATTCTGTAACATGAAGAAGAAATCACGAAGTGAAGTCAGTGGAACAGGACTACTATATTTCAAAGTATAATGGATACAATTGGGAAGCAGATTTCATTCACAGCTCACACACAACAACCTCAAAGGCAATGTTAGAGTATGATTTCTTCATTTGATCTAACAAGTAGGAAAACCATACTTGTTTTTCCCCCCCCCCCCCCCCTTCCTAGCACCAGCTTTAGGGCTTTTCCCGAAATGATTAAACAAATATTTTGCCTTTGAAATCAAATCTCCAAAGAAAATAAATCCTTGAAAATAAAAAACAAAGCGAACACAAAGTGATTAGTTAATAGTGCATGCCTATTAAACTCTTGTACAATTATTTGTAAAAACATAAAACAAAATCAGAGGACATTAACTAAATTCCTAAATCATACAAATCAACAACCATTAACTAAAATTCCAATGCTTAAACATCCAAATAGTAATAGATTTTCAACTTCAATATCCCGAAAGCTCCTTTCATAATTGTAATCAATGAATCCTAAGCATAATTTTATGATATCTTAGAAGAACCCTCCTCTCTCACAAACAATGCCCTCCACAACGGACTCAATTCAACTGTATACAAGGCTCAATTTAACTAATCCCCTGAATTCTGCTATACAACGGAATAAACCTATGGATATCCAATTCCAACATTTATTATGGTTTTTGTAACGAAGAACTCGGAAATTAAAAAAAAAAAAAATTAAAAAAGTAACTTTCTAAAAAATGCAGATAAGAGTTGCTCCTAAAAAAAGTATTTTTTTCACAGAAAAACTAAAACAAACAAGGCCTAACGCATTTGATTTGATAAAGAGTTACAGGAACGCAGTTAGAGAGTACCTGAAGAAGGAGCGGAGAGGAAGAGAGGGTTAAGAGGGGCAAGTCCAGTGAAAGAGGTGAGAAGGGATTTGGGTTTGGTTCTGGAAATTCGTAGCTTGGTTGAAGAAGAAGATGAAGGTGAAGAGGAAGGGAAGCGCAATGAAGAGGAAACGGAAGAGGGAGAGGGCAAAGCAGAACGCAGTGAAGCCATGGACCACCTGCTGGTGTCGGTGGTGGTAGCCATAACCGCAATGGACGCCATTGTTGTGTGTGTGGAGCAACACCAGAACTGCCTCACTCACTAGATAACGAATGTGGATAGAGAGAGAGAGTTTGTTTTTGAATTGGGCTTTTTGTCTAGTCATTTTGTTTGGCCCATCATATCTACAAATTCTTTTTTTTTTTTTGTATCTCACGACCTCCATATTTTTTTTAAATAAAATTTGTGTTTTATAAAAAAAATGGGGATGGAAAACCAAAAAATTGTTCGTCGAAGAGAAACTGATGTCGATTTTTTTAAATAAAGTGTCTAATTCAAGTCTTATCATTTAAAAAGATACGACTGATTAAAAAAGGTTTAACTAAAAATAATTTATTAAAAAAAATTGAGATGGAAAGATAAAAAAAGAAAAAAAAAAGTTGTCGGCAAAGTGAACCTTGGAGAGAATTTTTTTATTCTGTTACAAAATCAATTTGTTTTCTAAATTAAATTATAAAAATGTATTTAAATTAACAAGAATTTGTACATCCTCTAATAAATATTTAATGATATTATGTTAAGTGTAAAATATTTTTATTTAATATTTTGAAATAAGGATGAAATAGGGTAGGATGGTACGAATTTCACTATTTTCGTCTTCGTCTTTATTTTTATCTGTGTCTTTGTTTTCATACTTTATACACATCATCATCTCCATACTTGATAGGTATGAAATTTGTATTTTCATCTCCATTTCTGTCGAGTATAAAATATATTTGTATCAATTCTATAGTTACTTAAAAATTAATTTTTTTAAAAAAATAAATATTGAAAAATAAGAATTTTAACATATAGTAGTAATTATAAAATTACATTGATTAAATTTAATTTAACATAAATTTAAAAATAGCGTAAGAATTGCATAAATATCAAGAAAATTTAAAAAAAATTAAGTTTCTAAAGATTAAAAGTGGTTACAATTACAAACGAATATGTGTATACTCGTTCTAATCCTCGTATCCAATTTAATAAATTGGATATTACCTATATTAGTATACACTTAAACCATGTATTTCTCATCAAACTTGAGATATAGATTCATACATTATCCATAAATACGAGTTTACTTATCATTATTATTTTGAAATATGTAAAAAGAGTAATTATATAAAAATAAATAAATTAATTGTCAAATAGGATTGTATGTGAAAAAAAGATATTATTTAGAATCAATAAAACATAAAAAAAAAATTTAGGGAAAAAAAATATAAAACATCAAAGATTTTTTTTATAAAAAAAAAGTCTAAAAAAAGAATTCATGGAATTTGAATGTGTGATCAGGGATGATGTAGGGAGATGAATCTCAAGCTTTGCTCAATCAAGGAAGGGTGGTGACCCTTTGTAGGCCAAACTGCTAGCTTGGCACCATGATCTCCAACTGTGTTGGAATCCTAATTTGAAGGATATCATTATAGAAACTTACTTCAAGGGCGACCTAAGAAGCTAATGATACCATCAGATCAAAGCATTCTCATGCTAATATCATTGATAACATTTGTGATCTTATTAACAGAAATTAGAAGGCCTCTTGAACTATGATTCCAAGGGATCTCAATGCCCTTGTAGACACCATCACCAAATGGGGGGCAAATACTAAGACTACATAGATCATTTGGAACTTCACTCTAACTTTTGAGCTTGAATTATATGGCAAAGAGGTCGCAGTGGTGTAATATGCTTAGCCTTTTTTTCTTCTTTATTTTTTTTCCTTATACAAAAAAAAAAAAAGAAAAAAAAATTGTTTTATCCTGAATCAAACCTATCATGTAATCATGTATATTAAATTAGAATAGTTGTTTCGAAATAAATTGTATTAGATCCCATTCTCTAACAAGTGTTTTTAGTTTTTACTCTTTTTTAAAATTTCTTCATAACTTCTTGTCCTTAATAATACATCTTTTTCATTTACTGATGAAAAAATATATATCATATCATTTTTTTGAACGAATTTAATATTATTTTAAAAATTATCAACAATAACATTTTAAAGATATTTTTCTTAACTTTCTATCTCTTTTAATTGTTCATCCTCATTTTTATTTTTAAATTAAATTATTATATTTTTATATAAAATAAAAAATTAAGCTAAATAATTATGGTAAATCTCTACGAATACGTGATTTGATTTTAAGACATACACAAACGTTAATTAGTTTGAAGATGCAAACAGTGTTTCTGCCGTGCATTGTCAAGAAGATTCCACGTTCTTCAACATCACCGCTGCGAATCCGACCCATCACGTCCTCCATCATTAAGGTGAACACCGATCATCTCTTTTCCTCTTCCAATTCCCATTTTCCGTCTCTAAACACTCTCCTTCTCTTCACGCAGATGGCTGCAGAAGACTACACTTTTGGGCCTTACAAGATAAAACCCAGTGAAGTGTTCTACACCACTCATTTCTCTTACGCCATGGTCAATCTGCGTCCTCTTCTCCCTGGTAACAAATAACAGTGCCCTTCATCACGGCTAATTCTTCAAATACCCGTTATTCTGCTCTTTTTACATTGCCCTTTTGTTTTTAATTAATTTATTCAGAAAACAGTAACAAAAAAAAAATTGCCTTTTGACTGCGTTGTTTACCAAGTCTGTCTTTTTTGAGATTAAAAGACACCCATGTTGATAATTTGCTTGTTTTTGGTCCATTTGCAGGTCATATCCTTTACACGGGGTTCAATAACACAGTGCTGGGGTGGGATGGTTGATGTTTTATTTATTTATGAGAAAATTACATTGAAACCTCTGAGGTTTTTTGAGATTGCACATATGACCTCTTTTTTATTTTTAATGTTTACAGTAACCCCTTTACACGCTGTAATCAATAATGTGTTTCATTGGTAACAGGGGTTTTCTGTAATATACATAGGGTGTCAGTGTAATGTATTTCAAATAATTAAGGGAGATTAATGTATGAGGCGAAAAGGGAGAGGAGGTATTGGAGGGAATTTGTCAAAATCCCTGAGAGTGTCGATGTAATTTATCTGTAGTTCATGACTGGATGAAACTTTTAATTGGGTGTATTTCATAGTGTGTCGCTGTTTTGGTTGAAATTTAGTAACAAGCGCAAAGACCATGTAATCCAGCACAATATTTTTGGGGCTTCCAGTCTTTGACTGCAAGGGACATCTTAGTGAGTTTGCTTATAGGGTTTGTTTATATTATCAGTGTCAAATTTGATTTATGGCTTCATCATGGTCACTAGAATGCATTCAACAGTTGATAGATTATCCATGTTGTTAATTATTTGATACACCATATAGGCTTAGGGAATTCATTTTGTCGTGCATTTGTTGGTTTGGAAGTGTTGAAAGTACAACTAGACCGGGTATTTATATTTGTTTTGTAGTTGATCACTAGAGCGTTGAGTTTTCAATGCAAGATTTTTTTATTCTGCATAATATGAAGTTGTAAGCTTGATTGCACAAGGCTATGTATATGTCTGCCTTAACAGTTTTTACATGTGCTCATCTGTCCAAAGCGCGAAGTTAAACGTTTCGGTGATCTCACTGCTGATGAGACTTCTGATTTATGGCTCGCTGCACAAAAAGTTGGCAGGCAGCTTGAGATCTACCATAAGGCTTCGTCACTTACTTTTGCAATCCAAGTAAGACTGTTGTGGAGCATGCTCAGCTCATTTAGTCATTTCTCTTACTAACTACTTTGGATTAGATTCTTTCTTCTTTTACATTTGAGTTTACTTTCTACTTTAACACATTTTATTTCTGGAAGATAATTTGTTGTTCAATTCTAGTTGTGCTCTTTGTCTTGCAATCATGACTTTGGTTACACACTCACCTTTTATATTTGGCCAAATTAAAAATGAGATGGATGCTGACTTTTTTTGTTTGTGTTGTTTTTCCTGTTCATTTTTTAAATATGTGAAAATTTAATATTTTAGAGTAATTTGATTTTTAGGATGTTTATCCTTTTTATTTAAATATATATTTTCTTAAAATTCTTAATATATAT